AAAACTCTTTCTCTATCTATCACTCACCATCTCGTCATATCATCGTCGATTTATAGACAAAAGAGCATGGTATGGCAAATAACAATATGTTCTTGGGTTTATTGGTGTTGAGTTTTTCAGTAATTCAAGTTTGGTTGAACATGTCTTGGTGTGTAATAAAATGATTCATGTATTGGCATGTAACATCAGTATGAAGAAAGAAGCTTTGGTGTGTAATATCTAGTATTGAAGCTTTGACCTTGGCATATAATATCTGGTGCTAAAGTTTTGACCTTAGTGTATAAATCTATTGCTGAAGCTTTGATTTGTAACATCTTCTGCTTAGACTTATAGTGTCATTTTATTTTTCTTTTATGTTATTTTTAGTTGTTGTGGAGCACATTAGACTAAGTTTTTAGTTGTTCACTCCACCAAAATTTTGAGATTTTTTGTTTTTTGAGGTTACATCTATAGATTAGTAGTTTTTGGCATTTTGTAGTTATATACATATATTTAAAAAAATTTGAATGAAGGTGAGAGAAAGTTTTTTCCTCCTAAGTTGTTAATCCTTTACTTTGTTCATTATTTTCTTTTTTTTTGAAAATTTAAAAGTTTTTATTTTTTATTGTAAATTTTTTTTGAAAAATCAACAATTGGTTTACATTCACTAAAAGTTGATGGGTTGAAGTTATAAGTGGAATAAAATCTATAAACTAGAACATTTCCTAGAGTTGTTATATGCCATGTTTGCATGAAACAACTTTAATGCATTTGGCATGTAATAAAACTATTGAATATGGTAGGACGTGTAACAACACATCTTTGTACATGTTTGCATGTAACAACACTTTTTTCAAGATAAAGTGTAGTAATTTTTTTTTAAATATGGCATGTAACAATAGCATTTCTTAAACATGATGTGTAACTTAGTCTTTTGTATTTTACTAGAATTAAACTTTTAAAGTTAAATATCTTAAACATGACATGTAATAATATTTTTTGAACATGAAATTTAATAATAATATTTTTTAAATATTATGTATAACTTGATCTCTATCTTTGTATTTAATTAAAACATAAACTTTTGAAATTAAACATCTTTATAATAGAGATAAAGTTTTAAATCAAAAAAGAATTTGACATGGAAAGGAATATGCATTAAAAAGTTATTTAAGGTCAATGTTATTATTAGGATGAAATGGATTTGAATAAAAAGATATTATTTAAAATTCTCAAATTTAGATAATTACCTTTTACGGTTATTTTATTTGTTACATTTCATGTAGTTATATAACAAAATATGACGTGTAATAGTTTTTTTTTTCAATATGACGTGTAATAAATTTTTTTTTAACATATGTGCTTGAATATGAGGATGTTTTATTAAGAAAAATTTTATTCAAAAATCTTTTCTTTTGGTTAAAAATAGTTAAAATTAAAAAAAATATTATTTTGAAAACACTTTTTCTTTGAGGATTAAAATCATCTCATTGAAATAATAGAAAATATTTTCTTAATTTATCAAAATAATAAAAATATTAATTTTTTTAATAAAATATTTTGAAAAGTGGGGAGGAACTTTTAGAGAAAGAAACAGGGAGAGAAAGGAGAGAAGGTTTAGAGTGGTCCAGAGCAGCCACCAATTCTAACCCTTGTCGCTAGATCGGAGAGGAGCTCGGTTTGGCCCCTCGTGCCATACCCGGCTAAGCAAGGAGTCGCCTTGACTCTAGTTGCCGATAACAACGTTGGGGATCATATTCAACCCTCCTTGCTAGCGGGACCGAAGGGAAAGAGAAGATAAAAGCAAAAAAGACAAAGAATAGAAGGAAAAAAATATTTCAGAATTTGTTTGGTAAAATTAATTTAAATTTTAACAATGAAATCAGTGTTTAATCTCTTATAAGTAATGTATTAGTAGTAATTAAATTTTTTTAAATTATTCAATTTTATAAAAATTAATTTAAATTATAATATAAAAATTAATGTTTATTTTTAAATCATTTTATATTTTATTTTTTTAAAAAAAATGGATTTTTTTAAAAAAAATTAAAATAAAAACATTTTACATAACTCAATGTTTTACATGTCAAGTGTCAGAGTTTCACATGTCTAGCAAGTGTCAAAAACACGACCTCAATTGACATTTAACATTAAATTTAATGAAAATACCGTTTTGTTATAATGTTAAAAGTGTAAACTAATAAATTATTTTTCAAACTCTAAATATCAAAATAATTTGTCTTAAACTTTGAAGATTATGGGTGAATTTACTTGAAAAGAATAATTAATGTATTGATATATATATATATATATATTTATTTTAGTGTTAATTTAATTCCAGACAAAAAAAGAAATTTCATCAAAGTTAACGATTGAAACCGAAAGAAAAAAGACTAGTTATATTTCATCATCATTGGTACTTAAAACAAATGAGATTTTTTGGTAGGAAAATGAAATCTTATGGGGTAGTATTTTTTTTTTATTTTTAAAAAGAGATTCAAATTTTAATTTTTAAGTAAAATATATACATTAATCAATAAATTAAATGTTTGAATATATATGTGGCAGCATACAGTTGAAGAAAAATTAAAAAATGCAAAATTGCTGTCAAACACTCAATGAAATGATCGGACCATTTCACTCCGCCGTTCAAGATTTGATTTCTTTCTACAAAAACTAAGATCCGAAAACCCCACAAGCTGCGAGCCAACCAAATACACTAATTTTTCTTAGAATTTTTATTATTCTTTGGCATGAAAATGTGCACACAGCAATGTGCCAGACAGTTTCAACTTAAAACATAATAATTAAAATAAAATTAATTTATTAATGATACTTACTATAAAAAAAAAAAAAGGAAGAAGAAGAAAATTGGGCCATGTTTGCATCAACAGACAGAAAGGCCATAATTTGTGGTGGGCAGTGGTTAGGCGGAAGGTACAATGTTGTTTTTATTGACCAAAGGATATAAGAAATTAAGGATGGTTCATCAAACAGATCACCTCATTTTATTATAACAAAATTTATGGAGTTTTAGACATTTAAATATAGGGTTCTGTGCTCTTAACTCATTGTCAAAACTTTGAGATAAAATAATGGCAGAAGCATGTAGTAGTCTGATGATGCTTCTCAGGCTTGTCTTACAAAAAAGAAAAAATGGTTATAATGACAAAGACCATTGATTATAATATAATAATGATAATAATAGAAATGACAAAAAGAAATAAGTGCAAAAACATGTTTAGTCCAGTTCAAATTTGGTGTACATGTTAGACAAAGATATAGAATGGGAATTGTCTCTCGGGGTTAGGCCACTGCCGGCCATCTCTTTTGAAACAGCCAGTCAACAGGTTCACATAATAAACGGATTTTCAGCCCTTTTAGTCTACTAATTTAAAAAGCTAAAACCCCAGGAATTATTTTAGCTGGCTATAGCTGTCCCTTTTTAATTATTTCAATTTTCCTTGTAATAACTCGAGCACCTACCAGTTGGAGGTTTGGCATGGTGGCAATAGCATTGGGGCAGACAGGAGGGGTGACGTAATGCTACGTAAAGGAAAGGAAAAAAACGAATGTGATTATGTGAGTGGGAATTGATTTGTTTTCCAAGTGGCTGGCCAAAAGAAAAGACAAGTAGTAGTGCATTTAGGACAGGGGTATTGTTAGTTCATTGCATTAATTCTTCAGGTTTTTGAGTCTCCTAACACTTTCAATCCAACCTTGAAGCTTTGAAACTAGGATTTTCTTCTGATTGGATTTTAAACTACTCACGGTTTGACCTAAATTAAGCTGAGAAAGAAGCCAGTTTTGAAAGCAAAAGGGGATGACAAAGTGCAATGTCACACCAAAGCGGAATAATTAAACAGACTTGGGTCATTCTCAGGAACCTGGCGAATGGCATATTATATAAAGAAACAAACCCAAGCGTCAGAGATTACGGAATTGCCATTGCACCCACCATTGTCCAGGCAATGAGCTGATGACGAGTTGCTGTCGTCAACAGGGGAGGGGGAGAATAAAGCCTTTTAAAGTTCCATAAAGAAGCATAGCATCCCCATTATTAAGCCTTTCTCTTTAATCTAACCCAACCATTTTCGAGATTTAAGCATGTTTTATTATTACTATTATTGTGTTTTGTTTTTGCAAGCCATGTCAGGATCCCGGCTGCCGCCCAGGTCTAGCGCACGTGGGAACAGCCCATCCTAGAGGAATTGGATTGTGATGTGAGGTGAGGATTAAAGTGATAAAAAACTTCCCATTGGATTAAATCAGTTGGGGGTGGGGGATGGGTTTATGCATATATATATATATTAATTAATGTTGATCTTTGTCCATAGAACATTTCCATGGTGGACCAACGTTCCCATTAATTTGTCTATGATAGCGATGCCTCCACGTGATAGATTGGTGGGAATTTGCCAACCTTATTCTCTTTAAGCCTAATAGCTGGAAATCCTTGAAGCTTAAAAAACACTTGCAGCAGCAAATCAAGATTAAAAGAATTTGCATTTGCTTTAGTGTAGGACATCAATCTAAAACCAAAAGGGCGGTAAGGCAGGCAGGCAGATGCATACCCAAGCGCCGCATGCCCCTTTCAATCTAAAATTGGCTTCTCTTTTTGGATGACTCACACCGCAATAGCCCGCACCAATCATTACCATTTTTTTGGCTTATCCAAATAATGCAAAAGTAAAGTGCAACTCTCGGTTTGAAACTTGATCCGTGCCATGGGGTGTCACCAGACCCTTACTTCCTGTACCTTCACGCAAGTTCAGACATGCACATTGAATCACGTGTCTGTGCTCTCTGACTATGTTTTCAACCCTAAATCCCAAACAAGGCCTAGAACCAGTTAGTTAAACTGCAAGAACCATCAGCTACACGCCGTTCCTCTCTCCTCAGAACACTAGTTTCCAAATGACTATTATTCTTTCATAACCCTGAAGATCCGCACGTAACAGTTATTATCATTTTCAGCTTTTCATGTGTAAATCGTGATATGCATCTGAAGGCTACGTGACTCTTTTTTTTCAAGGTATATATTCGCATCCAACATTGGACATAAGCATTTGAATGTGTTAAAAAACATGAATTCAGGAAATTGCCCTATACAGTTTTTCTTTTTCAAAGGCAACTGCCCTATATAGTTGGAAAGCCAGATAAACACAGCATGCCGTTCCTGTATAACCCGTGAAAAGGAAATGAATTTGGAATGTACAGACAATGTTGGCCACAACACGTGGCTCTTGCTCCACAGTGGAAAAAGAGGAAACCTTTTCCTTTTGCACATGTCGCAGTTGATGACCAAATAGGCACCATGGCTGGCGCAGAAAGCACTTGCAGCAATTGGTAATTCTGGCTATCCACGAGAAAGAATCGATCAACAGAGCCTTTTGAAATGCTAGTAATTGCCATGGGTCCGCCAATCTGGTTGCAATCTGCAGGAGCAAATGGTAGTTTCAATCATTGTTGTTCAGTAACAGAAAAAGTGAATGACACCAAGCAAGAGAAGAAGACATCAGCCTCCCACATCAAAATCATTACATTCAACAAGTAACTGAGTGATCAAGTTTATTGACGAGGATATTCTGTAAGTGGAATGTGCCCGCCTGATGGTTCCTAATTTCCAATAGCAAAAGGTTAAGGGCAGTTCCCATCTCTCAACCTAACATTCTCATTATTGACCACAGTGGTATACCACCAGTAAGCTAACTCAAATGGACCATCTCACTTCAAAAAATGAGACTATTTGATGCACTGCAAGTAGGACAAATAATATTTGACAAATTAGAATTATTGAAGTGCTAAATATGATACATACTGGCTCCAGGTGTTCATGTTAGAAAACGTGGGGTCACGAACTTTATCTTAACCTTTTCCATTGTCAAATGCAGTTTTTCATAAAGTGACATCAACATAGAGCTAAGAATTACAATCAAAAAATAGAAAAGACTACTTGGGAAAAACTTACACGTGAAACTTTGTCACCACATAAAAATTCAGGTCCTATCATCACCAAAACTGCAGATCAGTGTTGTCGCCCATTCTAGTGACCTCTTAATCAGCAAAGCTGGATAGCCTGCAATTATGTGCAATGACACAGCAATTCTAGAGCATTTTCTAGTTACATGCATCAAGTTAGAAATTAAACACATATTTCACTGGGTAGCGATATGGCTGCACTAAGCAAAGCATTTCAATAAAAGGCTTCTTGCAAAGGCATTAATGAAGTTGGCATGGAACAGGTTAATGGATATCATATCTGCATTCCCCAGCAATTCCATTGAATGCTAAAACAAATGGTAATGAATGGATAAACTGGGTATAGCCTAGAGGAAATTCATAGTTATGATGCAGGTTACTAACTTACCATCTACGTTCAGAGGTTTAAGCATGTAGGTTGGGATACATGGAGGTAACTTCTTAAATATTGGGCATGGAGATAAGGGCACAGAGATGATTTTGGCACCAATATCTAGTTTTTACATTTCACATTCCTATTACCTTTAGTTGACCAAGAAATTGAACTGGAAAAGATTAGAACTAGTGCCCACTGTTACAATGAATGGTCTTCATTGCACAGCACCAAACTTCTTAGCAGGGAATTTCCTGTGATGTCCTAAACTGAAAAATATGAGCTGTATTTTCATGGGAAAGGGAATCCACCATGATAGTGCAACATGTTCAACACAGTACATGCCAGATTAGGGTCTCAATTTACTAAAGTGCAGACGGCATGAGTTCCAACATGATGAACATGCAGAAAAATAGAATCTCCAGAACCACCATGCTAGCATCCAAACATTTACTCCTTAAATCAACATTACCAACAGCAGGGCTCTCATGCTTCACAAGAGTCCCATTGATCAAAAGCTTCTTCCTTTCTCTCCTCCCTCAAACCAGTCAAAGACTGTTTCTCCAGAGGACAATCTATAAAGGAAAAAAAGAAAACAAAAATCTCAGTAAGCATTAACACGTCAAACACTTTGATAAAGATCCTAAATATTAGGGGATGTATTTGGTGTTAGCTAAAGATATGATTGACATAGCCTTATTCCTCTTCAATTAGGGTCTCTAGTCAAAGTTCCACAGATTAACTGGCTCCCCAACTGAGTCCCAACCAAGGCTTAAATCATTAGCACCAGAGTCAAGTTAAAAGGTCGATTGGCTTATTCCAAATATAACCAGTTCTATCCCATTAATATTTCTGTAGATTGGTATGCAGATCTGAAACATATAAAAAGCTTTTAAAATAATATCATTTTAAATAAAATTTCAACAGAAATATCAATAAAGAAGATACTATATCAACAATTTAAGAAATAAAAACTTCAATAAATCTTGTCTAGCTAGAAAATGTGAGGGACTAGCATGTAATGCTTAAAAATTAAATCTGCTAGACAGTAAACGACCAAGAGGCACCTCTCAGCAATAAACAACAAACGGAAGAACAAAGAAAGAGAAAGTTTGAGATTTGCTGTCAGAATCTTTTTGAAGATTGAAGAAACTGAATTATAAAGCACCATGTATTGGAGCTTCAACGTTCTTGGAAAGGTCCAAAAACCAATTCTACAATTCTATCCTGGAAAAATTGAAAGCTGAGAGAATTGGTTTAAAGAAGATCTTGTCTTTTGACAAATAATCACTGTTGGTAAAATCAACGCCCTCTGTTACTGGAAATGCCATCTTATACTATGACAACAGAGCTTGCCACATTATCTGTTGATTTCTTTTGGCGTTTGAGATAACTTTTTCCAACTCCAAAGCATGTTGGAGGGCTAAGATTTAGGAGAATGCAGTACATATCAGAAAGGTTTTACAGCTAAGCTCCTTAGGCAGCTTGTAACTGAGGCAAACAAGTTCTGGATGAATCCATTGTTATCTTAAGGTTCTTTAGAAGGTTGGCTTTCCCATGTCTTGAAAAGGCAAATTCTGATTCTACTAGTATTTGTTAAAGGAATTATCAATGCTGAGATGTAACACTAAAAGGTGCTTGCTTCATACTAGGTGTTGGATGTCATACAAACACGGGATCTAGGCCATAGATTTCCCTTAATTAGATATGAAATTGTAGACACAAAGCCGTTATGAATAAGCTTCTAGAGAAAGCTATGTAGACATTGATCAAAATGTCTAGACATTGAATTTGGGGTCTCTTATAATCCACTTTTACCGCCCAGGTTTTTTCACCACTATCAAATTCTGGCAAGATGTATCCAAGCTCCTTTCTATTACAAATAGAAAAGAGATATTGAACCCATAAAGATTGAGCATTAAATGAACCAGTCAAAGATTTTTAACCTCCAACACAATACAAGCAGCAAGACAGATAAAGGGTCCTAGCTCATTTCTCCCTTACAATCAACATTATTAAAGTCCTTTCATCAAATCAATATCAATTGCCAACCCTTCCAATTGATAGCTCCAATAAGACTCAACCAACTTTCTGATCACAAAAGTAATGATGATTGAAATGATATATAATATGAGAGCACTCACTCAGATTGTCAAGAGATGATATTTGCACCAATTTGATGTTATCCTCCAATCCCCAGAGTCATTGTTCTAAAAAAGAAGTTTAAAAAAATTATATGTGAAATCTACGGAATTCACACCAACACCTGGCTACTTGATAAAACGTACATCAAATACCAAACAATACAACCTGGGTCTTTGAGGATTAAGGACCATATTATTTCAAAATTTCAAGCCTAAATGCCCAATGTAATGGGCATTCTAATGTAGAAAACAAAAGGGTGTTCGCTTGAACGTTGAAGAACAAGCTGTTTACCCGAATTAACTGTTGATTAGCCACCTAAAATTGCAAAACAAATATAGTTCTTGTTCCAAAACTAGCCAGGTAAAAGCAAAAACTGTAAAACAAAATTTAAATTAAAAGGGAAATGAACAAAAAAAGAAGCGGTTACTGTCACCTGAAGAACGCTTGCGTCCATTAATCAGGATTGATGGACGAACACGATGAGCCTCCAGAACAGAGGACTTTTCTTGTCACAGTCTCACAATCACAGGGGTTGGTCCATGTTGGGTTTGAGGCCTACTACTAGCCCAGATTTCGGGTTCGGTCCCCTTTAGGAACCTGGCTTTACAATGGGCTTTTCCATGATAAAAGTTGAAGACCAACATGCTGAAAGCTCGTTCCAATAATCCCACGTTCTTCGTTGCCCGAGCGGGCCTGCAGGCAGCGACTCGCTTCCCCTTGCGTCGCATTCAAGTTTCAATTAATAAAATAAAACAAATCTTTTTAATTGTTGTCCACCAAATTCATATTTGCCCACGTGTTATGGGTCGATTAGACAGCAGCCCAGGCAAGTTAGCTGCCCAAGCAAGTAAGCAGACCAGCAATTTGGACATGACAGTTGGCTGGCCTAACAGACAGGAGGACCAACCCATCAACGCACCAAGGGATAGAAACGTCCGTACATCTTTTTAAAAAATGTAGATAAGTTGTTGTATAAATTTAAAGGCAGACATTATCTAAGCTATAAATGATTCTTACCTACATATATGCTCCACATTCGACACTTGTACCTAGTATTTTATCAAGAGTAAAGGGCATTTTGGAGTGTTTAGTTCTACTTTTCCCTTCTTCGTGATCCTTTTTCCTTTATTGATCCTACCGACCTTCTCATGGTCACACCAACCCGACTCAGGCATCATAATCCCAAGACGGTCCTAATCGGAGATGCTACTTCCAATTTCTTCAGCACGGTCATCATTCTCTCTGAGATCAGCAGGGATATGTGATTCTGGACATGCTCACTCACAGAACCTAACCCTTCTTATTTGTGCAGCAGCCAACTCACGGGTAAATTACTGATTGCCTTGGGCTTTGCCACTGTCTTTTTGAGCTTCCGTCCGTCTTTATAGGTTTCAATCTGATGCATGGAAGAAGGGTTTGGTCGGTGCATGGAATCGGGCCTTTGTCAACGAATGGATTTGGGGTCAAAACACCTTGACTCAATGCAATGGAGAGTTTGAATGGTTGCAGTGGAGTTGAATCATCCAGTCGACTTTTTGAAGATTGTGGAATCCGAAGGGTTTGGAAGACGTGCTAAGGCTACAAGTTAGTCTTCTCAATCTCATCAACATCTTGCTATGATGATTATTAACGGTTTTCTGCAGTTTGAGTTGTTACTTTTCTTTCCCAATATATATTCAATATGTAAAAATGATTCTCTTTCATTTCATAAGTATATGTTCCCATATAATTAAAAATAGGTGGGCTCGAGTCACAGCCCACATACATGTATGAAAAGACGAAATTTGGAACATTATGGCTATATTTAAGCTCAGAGCATTAAAATTTTTCTTCACTTTTTAAGATAATATGAAGAATGGATTGAAAGAAACAATTGAAAATGATTTGAGTAGTAATTCTTCTTTGCTTCAGGTAAGTTGGCCAAATAAATTAATTCAATAGAAATGGGTTCTCCCGTTTTGAACGTGTTTGCTTCCTAAAAAGATGATTCGGATGTACAAAATACTCTGTGAATGCAACAACTACTTGTATTATTTTTAGTCTCAAAATTCCATATTGAGTTAGTTTTCTGAATTGGGAAGTTCTGCATCAATGGAAAAGCTTATCTTAAATAAAAATGGATGAATCATTGGCTGAGGAAACTCTGTTGATGCCTAAAAGCAGCCTTGGCAAAAGAAGCTCTGGTTCATTTTTAATAAGTGCACATTGTTACATATTTTTCTATTGCTTCATGCTAGAAGGAATCTTATGGGTATTGGATTGTCATTATACAAAAATAAAAAAGGCAATGGCATGTTCTTGATACCTTCTGTATGAAGTGTGTACTATTGTTTTTGTGTCAACAATGCTATGAATTTGTAATTTTTTTTTCAAAGGTAGCATCAAACTCAAATTTGATGTCATCATAAAAATTTCAAAAGTCAAAGGCTTTTCAGAACTTCTTCAAAAGAATGTCTTCTCAGATTTAAGAATGATTACTTGCTTAATTTGGCAACAACCAAAGACCAAAAATTAGACAATAATTGTTGATTAATTAGTATATAGTTGCTGCAAAAGGCCTTTTCTGATAGTCCTTATTGCAGCAATACTTGCATAATTTTGTAATATCAATCAATCTCTGTCTCTCACCTTTTTGCAGTTCTGTCAATACAGAATATTTTTTGAAATGTTTGTTACATACAAGCAAAGAATGTGCATTTAAAAAATAAAGTGCTCTATAACAGAACAGGGCTCAGATATATGGCCCATTCAGAACGAATCATGGTAGAAAACACTTTCTGTGGGTATCAAAAACTTTGCAAAGAACACAATTTTAATGGATTGGTTTTTTTTTTCGTTGGTCGTCCATGTTGGATTAACTCTAGAAATTTCTTCGTATATATTTTGACAGGCATTGGCTCAAAAGTCTGGGAGATTCATGATTTATGTCCATACCAAAGGGATGATAATTGATGATAAGTACGTTATCATGGGATCAGCAAGCATTAACTAAAGATCCTTAGATGGTTCAAGGGGCACAGAAATAGCTATTAAGTGCTTACCAACCAAATTACCCATGGGCAGGAAAGAAATCCCTCCCGTATTGCTAGGTTTGGGATTCTGTCTCTACTCACTTTTAAATGCTCAAAAAAGTGCCAGACAGTCATTTGTGCATACTATTTCTATTTTTTTGGTTTAATTGTTTTAGCATATGCTTCAAAGGAAACAAAATGGCATTAAAGCATGGAGAATAGCATCTCTGGGGTCTAAAATATATTTAATGTTTGCCTAAATTCCCATTTAGATTTGTTAGTTGCACCAGTATTGTTGGATGTAGGTTTATGGTTATCGGATGTCTCTGTGGGCTGAACACCTTGGCAAACTGAAGGATAGTTTTGAAGAACCGCAAAGCGTAGAATGTGTTTCTAATTGTTCTAAATTATGTTTTATTTTATCTGTACTTCAAGTTTATGGCTGGATGGGAGCAGAAAAAGGCTACCGATGGTAAGTTTTTTTTTTTTTTGCCTCAAGTTTGTTAGGATCCATTGTTAATGCATGCATAAAAGTATGGTCATTTCTAATCTTGCAAATGATGTGTTGTTCATATTCTAGGAGGAAAAAAGAAGGAAGTGAAGAAGATTGGTTTGGGTCTCTCCTTTACTAAGGATGAGAATTTCAGGGAATGGTACTCTGAGGTATATTTTGTTGCAATGGTACAATTGCTTTGTGATTGTTATACTACTTTATTGGGATCTTAGTATCTTATGATTATATCATACATTTTTGGCTTTTGTAAGTTACTGTCAGCGGTGAAATGATTGACATCAATGACATTTCTAGCTGTTATATTTGGAGGCCATGGGCAATTTCAATTGGGAGATTAAGTCATATAATATTTATACTCATTGCAGTTTAATTAGTAAATAGCAAGTGTTAATTAATAACGAGGGAAAAAATGGTCATGGATGCCATTCTTTGATTTTTTTTTTTTCTTTCCCTTCCCTTTAACTTATCTATGATTGTAAATTGCACACATTCTTTGATGTGGAAATCAAAAAAAATGAAAGTCAAGAACTTCGATTTCCCTCTCTTTGTATCTCCTAGTGTTTTGCAAAAAGAGAAAGATCACATTGAGGGTTTTGCTCTAGAGATGAGAACTAAGTTTTTGGGCACAATTGGCCTTGTGGAATGTGCTTCAGCTTGGAATTGTTAATTTATTTTTTTACGAAATTTCTTGAAGCCATTTGAATCTCATTTTGTCCCTAAAGGAGCAGGAGTATTCACCGGTAAGCTTTAATTTATATCATTTTTTGGTCTCAGAGGTTTGTAACTAAGAAAGAGCTGCAATGTTAAAGTTGAAAATGTTGTAAACTCATTATGGAGCAATGTTACAGGTTATTGTTTTTTTACCATAAATGACGGAAGGGATGTTTCTTTTTTCCTTTTTAACTTATGACTGTTTATTATTTTTATTTGGTTTTAAAGGTTTAATTATTTAGATTGTATGTTTTGATATGTTATCCAATTAATCACATCCAACTTCCAAAGACTAAAACAGGAAAATAAATGAAAGTTCAAGAACTCTTCTGTTTAAAAAACTTTCTTAGAATACTGTCTTTTTTTAAAGTTTATAACAAAATTTCCACTAATTTTCCAATAAATATTCATCTTTTTTATTCTTGGCTTCTAAGCTATATATGAATTAACACAATTTGATTAACTATTTATACATTGCTGTGTATTATTTTTATCATAACAAAGTCTGTTTAACTATTTATCCATTACTGTGTATTATTTTTAGCATAGCGTAATTTATCTTTTTACATTCGCATCATAACAAATATATCATTTTATTTGCACTTGAGCATTTGACTCGTTAATTGGCGTATTATCCCCTTACTTAAAAAATAAGATTTGAATCTGTCTTTCGTTACTTATAAAAAAAAATACTTCATTTTATTTCTTTTTCTTTAAACAATTTATAACAATTATAATTCTAAAAATTATTAACATTAATAAACAATTCTTGATTCTACTAATTTAAATTTTTTATACTAAATTCTTAACATTAATTGTTCATAAAATTTACAAACCTGTCGCGGAAATTTTTCTAGTTTATTATTACACTTAGTTATTACCAAATCAAGCAATGCAGAAAAAAAAGAATATAAAATGTAATTCACGCGTTAACCGAAAAAGAGCTTTAGTTATATCATCATGAAACCTTTACTAACAAAATGCAAATTATTGATAATTAGATGGATGGCATACTAAAGTTTATTGGATTTTTATTTTTATTTCAATTTTTGAATATTTTTTGGACTTATTTAATTTGGTTTTTAAGCATGTACCTCCCCAACCGTTGTTTCTACACTTCAAATCAAGCAAGCTTTAACATATTGTTTAGGGTTAATGACGTTCAATAGGAATTCAATAGATCATATATATCATTAATTTGTGACCGACTAAAATCTACCTCTCATGAGCTTGTCTTAGTGTTAAGGAAAAGGAGAAGGTTTTGAAAATTTGAGGTGTCAAGTTCAAATACCATCATGTATAGGTTTGGTCTAGTCTTATATTGGATCTATTCAGTGATAGTGTAATTACTACTTGTTTACATGTTACTTCATGAGAAAAAAAATGAGTTGTTGCTTTAATAGCACTCGTATGGTTTTCTCTTGTTTACTATCTTTTGATCAATTGTATAAAAGGGTTTTGATCAATTGTTTACTATATGTGATTAAGCATGTCCAAAATAAATTTGAATGCTTTAAATTGTAAGTATGTCAAATAAAGGGATTAGCAAGCCTATAAATACCTTATATGTTCATTTGTAAAGCACACCAAGTTTGAGAATAAAATCCTATTTCTCTGAAATTTTTCTTTCTTTGTTCTCTCTTATTTATGCTGTTTAGTATGTTGCTTCAACAACCTCAAGTTATTGACTGGTTTTGTTGATTTCGAGGTTGATTTGAGCTCAAGAGTGGTGTATTTTATGTTTAAGGTCACACGGAGTGTTAAGAATATTAGCTCAATAATAATGCGAAAGTATCCAAGAGGGTTGGATTTTTTTAAAAAAATTCTTGTTAACAAATTAAATTTTTAATGAAGGCAAGCTAAAAACAAATTTTCACAAACTTGTTTTTTTATCAAAGTATGTCAAAAGTAATTCTAAGAGTAAATTAAGAAATAAGCAAGATAAGAACAAATTTTTAAAACTCTTTAAAATAAAGTAAAGTAAATGCACTAGTATAAATAGTGAAGAGTAAAGAGAAAATGCACAAGGAATTTATAGAGGTTCAGCCCTTCCTTGGTGCTTACGTCCTATCCTTTAGCAAGCTAAGGAGTTTAATCCACTTTTAAGTATATTTAGCATAATGCCTTTTAAAGATTCAAGCATAACCATTGCCTTCTTTAAGTTTCAGCACAACCTTTAAACACTACCTTTTGAAGGCTAAAATATAACCTTTATTCTTTCGAGAGTCAAGTACAACCTCTAAATACTACCTTTTGAAGGCTAAGGTATAACTTTTTTCTTTCCTATAAGATTGAAGCAAATATTTCTCTAGAAGGTGGGTTTTGCTAAGTAAGTACAAGGTTGGAAGTGTTTGAATGACACAAAGATGTGTATAAATGACGGGAATGAAAGTACAAAGAATTTGTAGCACAAGGATAGTTTAAAAGCTAAGTGAAAGAATGTGTTTTGCTAGCTCTAGCTTGGTTTCTCTTTCTTTTTCTTCATAAGATTTGATTCTTGATCAAATGATATTTTTCTCAACTCTTATAACCTTCTAAATGTGTTGGAGAAGTCCTTTTTATAGTTGGAGAAGCTTTGGAGCTGTTGGAGATGATTTGGTAAAGCAACTAGCCATTTTTCCTTTAATTTTTGTGTCTAACAATTAGTTTTTGACATCAAGTATTGATACTTTTCACAAGGTATCAATACTTTTGAGATAAGTATCTATACTTTTGAGACAAGTATCCATTCCTAGCATTCAAAAGCATTCTGTGTAAAATGTATTGATATTTTTGACTAAAGTATAGATACTTGTAGCTTAAAATATAAAAAATTATTCTTTTTGAACCTAGTTTAATGCCAAATACTTGGACATTTCAAAAGAAAATACAAGAGAGGTTTAAAACTAATTTAAACAAGTATAAAACTATTCAAACAAGTTAAAAACTCATTCAAGCAATTTCAAAACTTATTCAAGCAATTTTGAAAATTTTTACATGGAAACACTTTAGGCACTTCAAAAATTTTTTTGGGGGCAAAATACATCTACCCCCTAAATTTTGTCCACAATTCCATACTGGTTCATTAGTATTCAAAATAGACAGTTTACCCTCAATGTGTAAACGACATTAACAATATATTTGAAATGACTAAAATGCCTATCAAATAAAAAGGCCCAATCATGTGTTACCAAAACCTTAATCACTCTTGAGTACTATGTTCATCCGTTTCTTTTTTTTCTTCAACCATTCCCTCACACTAATCGATTAATGTTTTTCTAGATTTCCTTCCAATATAAAGCTTCTCTTTCGATTAAAAGCTTTATCCTACAATGAAAAAGCCATAAAATAGTTTGTTGTTTCGAACCCTTTAAACCACTACCCAAATTGAGAATACCCAAATTGTGAGTGAAGGTTAGGGTTCATCGATTGTAGTTCATTGATTTTATTGTCTTTTGGGTGAGCATTGTGGTTTTGTGCTGTTATGGTGAAGGTTAGGGTTAAGTTTTTGATTAGGATTTAGGGATTTGGGGTAAAGGTTAAAGTTAGGGTTTTAATTAAGATTTAGGGATCTAGGGTGAGGGTTTCAGGTTTTTGTTATCTTGACTTACATCATGTTTTGATTTGACAAAAATTACATGTTATCTTGAGCTTAATGTCAAGCATTTGAAATGGTCTCAAATACATTTTTAATCCCTTAAGGTTATATATTTGTTTGAAAAGCCCTGCATCATTAGAAAATATTATATAAGCTTTTAAACAATACATATTCAGCTAAGAATGTAACAACAAACATGCCTTGAAATGTTATTTAAATGTAGGAAAAGGCAAGGAAGAAATAGTTGAAGAGAAACGTGAAAAGCTAAGGAAACCTCAAGACACAGGTTAAAAGTCGATCTTAAAGAAGTTCTAATTGATTTAGAGGTTGAAAGAGTGCAAAACTTGAAGAGTATGAAGCCATAGTCGACCTTAGAGTGCCTATAATTAACCTTGTTATAGAAAGATCAAGAAAATCAAGTTTTGAACAGACATAATCGACCATGGCCCATACATAGTTGATCTTGACAAGTCAAAAGCAAAAAAAAGTCAACTTACATAGACATAGTCAACTATAGTCTCTCAAACTTGCAAAAAACACATTCTCGAGAGTTGGATCGACTAAAGGAAGGTTATACTCAACTATGGAAGCCCTAATTTGAGAAATTTGAAAAATATAGTCGACCCCTAAAGTGTTATAGTCAACTCTCAAGCTTCAATAATGTTTAGATTTGATTCAAACTTATGTCTAATGGCTCCAAATTTTACCCTAGCTATAAATGAAAGCATTTAAGCCAATATGAAATAAGAAAAGACTTAAACCAAAGCTTTAAACCCTAAAGAGACCTCTAAAAGCTCATATTAACTCTCTAGCATCATTTTAGTTTCCACCTAGCTTACAAAGTTGAATACTAGGTTCATTCAAGTTGATTTTCTTTTTCTACTACAACCAAGTTAAAATATTTAGCATTCAGCCTTTACGAGGTAAATTTGTGTTATTATTTCTTTGTATATACATCTTGTAAAAGTTCTAACTTAACCTTGAAAAGCTATTTGTGAGGGTTTGTGGTTGAGCTTTTAAAAACTATTGTTAGTGGGCTACTGCTTCATTCTGTTAAAAATCAAGAATCCTTTTGTGGATTGTGCAAAGGTTATCACTTAATCCCATGAAAAAGTCATTGTAATAGTTATCACTTGATCCCATTAAAAAGTAAGAATCTCTTTACGGATTGTGTGAGGGTTATTATGTTGTCCCATTAAAAGGAAAGAGTTCTTGATAGTGGATTGAAATTACTTGGTTACTAA